TTAACCCCCTGAATTCTGACAAGATGCAGAGGTCTAGTTACTTGCCCGAGGACACACAGCTAGAGGCAGAGGTGGTGGGTGACACCTGTGATTGATCACAGGTTGATAAATACCAAGAGACTTGAGGCCCCAGGCAGGGGGTAAGAGGGTGAGAGGCTAGGACAGTGGTCGGCAAACTCATTAGTCCACAGAGCCAAGTATCAACAGTACGATTATTTTGAGAGCCAAACTTTTTAAACTACATAGGTAGGTACATTGTTATTAACTTAATTAGGGTCCTCCTAAGGCTTAGGAAGAGCCACATTCAAGGGGCCAAAGAGCCACAGTTTGCCGACCACGGGCTAGGAGAATCTTTTTTTTTTAATTTATTTTTTATTTCAGAGGGAGATAGAAATATCAATAACGAGAATCATCAATTGGCAGCCTCCTGCATGCCCCATGCTGGGCAGGTCACTGGTTTGACTCCTGGTCAGGGTACATGCCTGGGTGCCAGGCTCCATGTCCAGGAGGCGGCGTGCAGTTGGCAGCCGATCCATAATTCTTTCTCATCAATATTTCTCTCTCCCTCTCCCTGAAATCAATTAAAAAGACTGGATGGTAACCGCTCCCTCCCACCTCCGCTGGCCACAGAGAGGGCTGGAGCTGAGGTGCAGTGAGCGGACCGATCCAGTGTGTGGCTCAGGCCAGACCCACAGCCCTTAGGAAACGCACTCTAGGGATGGAAAATCGTGTAAGGTCTTGAAGCGGTCAAGTCCTCCTAGCAGTGTGGGGTTCTGAGGACTTTCCTTGTTCAATCTGCACTTTCTGATTTGATGCACTGTGGTCACCTGATGCACTGAACGTAGGAATTTGCACCAGCCCCCTGCCCTCCCCTAGGAGCCCGGATGCTGGGCCAGCCAGTCACTAGAGGTCTAGTTACTTGCTAGGGTCTCCCTGCCCCAGACCTGGCCCCTCCAGTCCCAACACTTTTGTTCAGTACCCGTGGGTGCGGGAGCCCCCAGAGACGAGCTGACAGTTCTGGCGGCAGGGCCTGGGTCCCACACACTGAGGCCAGGCGAGGTGAGGAGAGCCGGCTGATGCTTTATTGCTTCAGGGGGAGGGGCTCAGGAGCTCTTGGTGGGGCGGGCCCGCTTCCTCTTCACCACCACGGGCTTCTGGCTGCGCAGGATGGCGCTGGCCCTGCGGATGGCGGCCATGCGCAGGTCCGGGCGGTACTTGTTCCTGCGGATCATGTGCCGGATGCTGCTCAGGGTGGCCCGGGCGTTCTTGTTGATGGTGGTGCGCACGTAGGAGGTGGCAGGCTTTCGCTGGCCTAAAGGGGGCGAAGGGTCAGTGAGGTGGCCTCGGCCTTTAATGCACTCCCAGGTGCGAGGGCACAATGGCACCCTGAGAACCCGAGTGCCAGTGCCTGGTAGGCAGCCAGCTCCATCTCCACAGATTCCCAGGACAGCCCTGGTTGGTTTGCTCAGTGGATAGAGCGCTGGCCTACAGACTGAAGGGTCACTGGTTCGATTCCAGTTAAGGGCACATGCCCATGTTGTGGGCTCGACCCCCCAGTAGGGGACCTGCAGGAGGCAGCCAATCAATGGCTCTCTCTCATCATTGACGTTTCTATCTCCCTTCCTCTCTGAAATCAATAAAAACATATTTAAAAAGAAAAAGATTCCCAGGACACTCCACAGGGCCAGGCCACAGGACTGTACAGGCACCTCCCCATCTCTGTGTCTGAGACACAGCAACCCCCACCATCTCACTTGAGCAGACACAGGACGAGCACTTCTGTCCAAAGTCACACACACACCGCAGCTTCCGGAATCCAGGCCGCCCGAGTCTGGGCACAGAGGTGAGGCGGGCACTTGGCACCGTGCTGGCCCATTAGTGACCCTCGAAGCACGGCAGCTGCCTCCTCTCCCGGCCCCACCCTCCCGGGCTCAAGGCACCCACTCTGAACAAGGGTCTGAAAGGCCGAGCCAAGGCCTAGCCCTGACGGGGAGTCACGGTGGGCCCGAGGGGGGAGCCTGGTGCACAGGGGTGTCCGGACTCCGCTGCCCAGAATTCAGCCCAGGACCCGCCTCCATGCCAGGGGTACGGCTGAGTCACTGGCCCCGGAGCAGGGCCCACAGTAACTGCCCAGGACAGTCTGGGAAAGGCCACTGGGCCATCCAAGAGGGGCAAGTTTTTAGGACCTGACACACCCCAATGAGGAGCATGGACACCGAGAAGCCCCCTGGCGCCAGGGGGTGGGACCCCGAGAAGGGAACCTCCTCCTGAAGGGCGGGCAGGAGTCCCTGCCATCAGGAGCTGGCAGGCCAAGGCCACGCTGACACTGAACAGGGCGCTGAAACCTGACCCAATGGAACCTGGCCTGGTCAGGGACCCGGGAAAAGCTCATTCCTCTTAAAAACCACCGCAAAGAACAGAAGTGGTGGCAGTCCGATGCCCATGACTCAGAACTCCCAGAGCTCCTCCAAGACACCCAAATGCCTGCCGTGCACTTTAGGGGGGCGGATGCTCTCCTTGAGCCCACAGAGGAATGGGGGGGCAAGGGGAGTATCAAACTGCTTCCAACCCAGCCTGTCACCTGCAAGTGGGAGCTAGCAGGAGGCTCACCGATTTGCCTAAATTTTCCCACCGGCACCGGAGATGGAGACACCCACCCCTGGCTGGGCGGTTTGAAGGCTTTAACCTTAAAACACTGGCTCCTGGGCAACCCTGTAATTTCATCCTAACCACCAGCACCAGCACATACAGGGCAGGTCTCGTTAATTCCTCCACTTTGCAGAGGACGAAACAAGTGAAAAAGGCCCGGCCAGCGCCCACCTAGGGCGGGATGGCCAAGGGCGGAGCAGCTGCCCAGAGGGAATACCCTGACCCCAGGAGTCCCAGGGGCAGCATGACTCCCCTCGCCCAACGCTGACCGCCCACAGCTCCCTGCCCCGACCGGGGCCGAGCCGGGGGAACGCTCACCGGATCTCCGCTTCATGATGACCACCACCCCTTTGCCGTCGGGCGCCGGCTCCACGCCCACCGTCTTGCGGTGAATCAGCCCGTTGTAGCGGAAGGAGTTGCGGGCTTTCAGGTTATTGGGTTCCTGGGAAGGGAGGACGTATGGGGGTCGTGAAGAGGTGGGCCGGAGGCGGAGGGGGTCCCGGAGCCCGCGAAAGCGCCTCCCTCCGACCCAGGAGTCCCAGCCCCACGTACGGTGCTGTACGTCTGCTTGTTCCTCTTGATCAGGAAGCTGGAGCAGTTCCGCACGATCATCCATTGCAGGTGGGCAGACATGGCGGCAGCTGCGGGGAGAGGGGCGCGGGGAGGTGTCACGCCGACGCCGGGCCCCAGCAGGACAACCGAGGGAGGATGCGAGCCGGAACCGGGCGGAAGCGGGCACCCTGGAGGCAGGCAGCGCCCAGGAACCTGCCAGGCCGGGGCTGGGCGACCTAAGGCGGAGGGGACTGAACTTCGGCGCCGAGACTGACTGCGGGGGGGAACGTGAGAATCCACCGCGTCTTCCGGTGGCGGGGCCGGGGGGGCGAGCCAAGGACGCGAGGTGCGCAATCAGAAAGGCCGAGGGGGGCAAACACGGGGCAGGGGGCGCACGAGGCGGCCACGCGGGCGGGCGACAGGCCTCCGCTTACCTCCTCACGCTGCGGCAGCCGGAGACGGAAAGAGGCACGCAAGGGGCGGGGCGACGCCTTTAATACCGATACGCATTTCCGCTTCCTCTCTGGGAACGCGCGCGTCGCCTCCCGACCCCGCCTCCGAGGCGGCTCGGCAACGTTCGGCTGTTTCCGCCTTCCCGTCGCACACCGCTCGGAACCTTCGGAACTCTTCGGCCGGAGACCCGAAGGCGGGTTCTCAGACGCGGAGCTGCACCGTTCCGGGACCGCTCGTTTGTTTCCGGAACTTTACGACTGGATTTCCAACTGGGTACAGCCCTTTCGTCAGCGGCCTCTCCCCTAGGACTGCTCACCCAGCGCTTCGCACAGGATGGGCGCTCAGTAAACATTTGTTTTAGGGTTTATGTTTATGAATGAACATGTTGAGTGCGTGAACTCTTTTAAGCCTAGCCCCGGTGCTTCCGGTCTTCTCCGTAAGCTCTCGGCTATTGCCGACGAAGGCTCGCTCGGGCGCCTTCGGAACTCTCCGGAGATGCTCTTCGGAAACGGTGGCAGCCTTTCTTATTGGCCCCTGCCGGGTTCGGGGCTGTTCCGGCACGTTGGGAACCCTTCCGAACCCTGGCAGGCCCCTCATTTCCCCTCTCCAGGGTTCTTTTGGAATAAAGTCTTTAAGTTCTGGGTCTAGAGAGAAGCTACACTGCAGGGGGTCCCATACCTGTCCGCTCAGCCCCATCCCCATTCTGCCTGTAAGTCCACTAGGTTCCACCTCATTAAACTTCCTGGGAGTCCACTTTCTGTTCCTTTCGATCCTCCTGTTTGTTTTCAAGGTCATCTTGAAGGGACAGGAGCCTTGCCCGATGTCTCAGTCCTCAGTCACAGGACCTGGCAGAACCACTGCTGAACAAAAGCAGCGACCATGCCTTCTGTCACCGCCATGAACATAAGGTTCATGAACCCGACGGTGGGGTCAGAGTCCTGTGAACGGTCCACCTCTGTGCCTTCCTCTGGGAGTGGCCCCCAGGAGGCTCCGGGGGACGGGCCATGCGTGAGCCCGCGTCCCACAGCTCCTTGGGGTTGAGGGCCTGGTCTGAGCCTTGCTTTTGACCCCACCTGACCTCACCGTGCGTGCACGGGGGGCGCCTGGAGGCGGGCGGAGCGGAACAGGGCCCAGGCTTCCCCCGCGCCCTGCCCTGCGCTGGCTCCATTACAGCGTCCTCAATGTTGACCATGTGTTGCTTCTGCCTCTGGGGTGCAGGGGCCCTGGGCCCCCCTAATGCCTCAGCCCCAGGCCCTGCACGGAAACCCCGGCCAGGCCCGGCCCGCAGCCGCCCAGCTCAGATGACCGGATGGCTTGCGGGGCACACCTGGCGCCGTCCCCAACCCCGCCCCTGGCCGGGCGGTACCCGGAAAACTGTCCGCCGGAGCCAGCGCGGCGAAGCATGGCCATGGCGGCGGCGCCGGCCGTGTGCGTCTCGCAGGGCCCCCCGCCCGGGGCCGCGTCCCCGCCGGCCGCCGCGCCCGCGCCCTCGTCGGGCCTGGGCCGCTGCCGCGTGGCGCTGCTGCTGGCCGTGGCGCTGGACGTGGCGGGCATGGCGGCGCTGCTGACCGGCGTGTTCGCGCAGCTGCAGGTGCGCGGCCGCGACTTCGGCGACCTGCTCATCTACTCGGGCGCGCTGCTCGTCTTCATGAGCCTGCTGGGCTGGATCCTCTGGTACACGGGCAACATCGAGATCTCCCGCCAGGAGCTCGAGCGCGACTACGGCCTGCGGCCCTCGGCGCTCGCCCGCCTGGCGCGCAAGCTGTCCCGCCGCTGGTCGGCGCCCGCCTCCTCCGCCGCCGGCCAGCGCGCCGCGCCCGGAGCCCGGGGAGCCTGCCGCGCCCCGCGCGCGCCCCAGCCCGGCGCCGGCTCCCGCCGCGTGCGCTTACAGCTCGCCACGCTCGAGGCCGCGCCCGGGGCGCCGGGCACCGGCAGCGAGTGAGCCCGAGGTGAGGGGCCGGGAGGCGGGGCGGGGAGAAGCCGAGGGGAGGGACGCTGGGAGCGATGGATTGATGGAGAGAGCGAGGGGAGAGAGGGAGGGACGAGGGGAGGGACAGCGGGAGCGATGGAGAGGCCTAAGGAAGGGGGCGGGGCAAAAGGGAAAGAGGGCGGGGCTTCGGGGGAGATGGAATTAGAGCAGCGGTTCTCAACCTGTGGGTCGCGACCCCTTTGGGGGTCGAACGACCCTTTCACAGGGGTCGCCTAAGACCATCGGAAAACACATCTATAATTTCATATTGTTTTTGTCATGAATCACGATGCTTTCATTATGTTCAATTTGCAACAATGAAAATACATCCTGCATAGCAGATATTTACATGACCATTCATAACAGTAGCAAAACTACAGTGATGAAGTAGCAACGAAAATAACTTTATGGTTGGGGGTCCCCACAACATGAGGAACTGTATGAAAGGGTCGCGGCGTGAGGAAGGTTGAGAACCACTGAATTAGAGAGACCCAGGGAAAGATGGAGAGAGAGAGACAATGGAGCGAGAGAGACTCGGGTCCAGGCCCAGAGAGCAGCAGAGACCCCGAGGATGGAGGCGGGCAGGAGCGCAGACTTGGGAGGCGCCGTGAGACCCTGCTCCCCCGCTGCCCCCAGGAGGTGAAGGCGAGTCCCTGTACCTTGGCGGACCCTCCCTGCGCTCCAGCCCCAGGTGCATCAGGTCCCACTTAATCCTCAACGGACCTGAGTCTCCCAGCCCCACCCCAGCGGAGGGCGCTGAGGCCCCAGACGGTGCCACCTCTTGCCCAAAGGTACACAGCCCGGATTCTCCTGGCAGAAAGTGTAAGGAGAGCCCAAGCTGGTGTGGCTCAGTGGATAGGGTGTTGTCCTGCGGATTGAAGGGTCCCCCTTAGCTTCCGCTCCAGGGCACATGCCCGGGTTGCAGGCTCAGTCCCCAGTAGGGGGCGTGCAGGAGACAGCTGATCAATGATGAGAATGTTTCTCCTTCTCTCCCTCTCCCTTCCTCTCTGAAATCAATAAAAAAAAAAATACATTTTTTTAAAAAAGAAAGAAAGTCTAGCCCTGGCTGGTTTGGCACAGTGGATAGAGCATCGGCCTGCAAAACAAAGGGTCCTGGGTTCTATGTGGGTTCGATTCTGGTCAAGGGCCCGGACCTCGGTTGCCGGCTCCTCCCTGGCCCCGGCCCTGGTTGGGGCTCATGCAGCAGGCAACCAATCAGTGTGTTTCTCTCACATTGACCTTTCTCTCTGTCTTTCCCTCTCTCTTCCAGTCTCTCTAAAAATCAATGGAAAAATATTCTTGGATGAGGATTTTTAAAAAGAAAAGAAAAAGGGCCAAAACCGGTTTGGCTCAATGGATAGAGTGTCGGCCTGCGGACTGAAAGGTCCCAGGTGATTCCACTGAAAGGTCCCAGGTTCGATTCTGGTCAAGGGCATGTACCTGGGTTGCGGGCACGTCCGCAGTAGGAGATGTGCAGCTGATCGATGTTTCTCTCTCATCGATGTTTCTAACTATCTCTCTCCCTTCCTCTCTGTAAAAAATCAATACAATATATTTTAAAAAAAGAAAAAGGAAGTCTAAAGAGAGAGGGGGTAAAACTGGGAATGACCCATCAAGCAGGAGAGTGACGGTGACACAGACCAAGACACGGGAAGTTTCCTTCCCTCCGCTTTATCCCTCCTCTCTCCCTCCTATTCCCTTTCCTAAACACACTCTCCAGCCTGCACTCCTGTCCCCGAAGACCTGCTGTGGGTCCCCGTCGCCCTCTGGTGACACCCACTCCAGTCACGGACACGTGGGCCCGCTCTGTCTCCTCGCCACATCTCCTGCCTTCTCTGCGGTCATGACAACATCCCTCAGACCACGACAGCCAGGCTCTCACGCCCGTTGGCGTCTGGCCCTGCTCTCCCTGCCGCAGGACTGGCCCTGCTCCACAGAACACTTCCCATGTGTCCTTTAAGGTCCAGCTCAACCTCGCTGCCTTTCTCTGGGTCTTCATATTGTGAGTTCCCCACTGTTGTTTGTATCATCCTGTGTTGCATCTCCCTGTGCTGGTACTGCCACTCCCACCCACCAGGGAGCCCCTTGTGGGGGAGGCCTGGGTCCCTGGTGTCTATGTGCTTAGCACTTCTCAGCAAAAAAGTGAACCCAAGAAATCAGAGATTCGTGATTCCCCGGGTGGGTGGCTGGATGGGTGAACAAATGGGTAATTGAATGGATGGGTAGGTGGGTGGGTGGGTGGGTGGGTGGGTGGATAGATGGTTGGTTAGGAGATGAATGGATTAGTTGGTGGATGCATGGATGAACAAATGGATAGCTGAATCGATGGGTGGATGGACGGATTAGTTGATGGGTGGATGGGTGGCTTGGTAAATGAATGGGTTGGTTGATGGGTGGATATGGATCGGTGGATGAATTGGCTGATGGATGTGTGGATGGATGGATATGATTGGATAGGTAGATGGGTAGATGGGTGAATGGGTGGCTGGTTGGATAGTTTGAGAGATGGGTAGGCATATGGATAAGTGGATGGTTGGGTTTGTTAATGGTGAATAGGTAGATGGAACAAATGAATGGATGAATGACTGAATCATTTTCTCAAATGAGGATTCCATAACACAATTGAAATCTAACATCCTAAGATTCTCTGTAAGTGATTAACTAACTTATGTTTTATACATCCAGACGATGCTAGTCATATACCCTTCTCTCTGAGAATTGAGAAAATAGTCACTCCAGTCCCATGCTCTGTTCTATGGTTCAGGTGAGGAAACCACTTTAAGAGAGGGTGAACAGCTGTGCAATAGGTGAAGCAGGAGCTAGCACAGATGTGGCATATAATGCAGAAACCGCCACCTGTGGGTACAATTACCCCCTGGAAATCCTTTACCCAGGTCCACAGCTGGTGGACCTCCACTGAAGGAGCCACCTGCCAGAAACTGGCCAAGCTGACTTTTGTGTAGGCCACGAAGGAATGAGTGTATATGGTTGGATA